TATATGAGAGAGAGATAGTGCAGTTTATACAGAATGGGCTCCATGCATATGAGAGTGGGTACAGCTCGACTCACCCGCCCGTCGCTCTGCAGAGAAGAGACTTGCTGAGACAGCTCTGACTGTACTCTCTGCATTATCACCGCTAAGAAGGAAAAACAGAAAGTGAGCGAGGGGGAAACACTGCGATGATAGATGGGGGAGAGAAAAGGTGGGAGTGAGAGGGATTTAAAAACCGCATGCCAAGTGAAGTCCATACGGCATCCTGATTACTGAAGACAACCTGTAAAGAGGCTGCGCTATCAGCACGCCATTCATCACTGGACTCACGGCACGCTGTAAAACTGGCTTTCATCCTCTCTCAGCACTACAGGAGGTCGCAGGGTTACTTCATTAGAGCAGTCTGGATTCTCCCAAAGCAAATTTGAGGTGGTTCAATTAGACCTCTTCCTTGGTAATGTGCAGATTGAGATTGATTTAAAACATCTGCACGAAACTGCAGGCTGACCTAAATTAAGATTGATACTTTGGAAAAATATGCTGACCTGCTTTCTTCACCTACCAGTCCATTAGGTTAACTTAGCTTAGCATTGCATGAGTTGAACCACATCTTATGGAAATTGTGGTTTTCGAAGAGATAACACAAACAAGATGTAATGTAGTGATTGGTGAGGTTTAAAGGAGCTGTAGGTGGATTTTTATCTAAATTGTTTCTAGTCTTAGTGCTATGCTAAGCTAAGCTAACCAGCTGCTGGATGACGTATGATATCATCCCATAAATCACTTGATGAGAAGAAAATATATATTTTCTAACTAAAAATACAACCTTTACTTTCTTTTATTAACAGAACACTCCTCCCATACATGTAGATACTTTAGATCCAAAGAATCGAATCCTGCATGAGTATGAAGATGACACTTACCAACTTGGTTCTGGATCTCATTAGCCACATTTGGCACTTTGTAGAGAAGACCCAATGACTGATTCATCCTCTCATCTATCACACGGAGATGAGTCAAAACCTGAAGGTTGAAAGAAAGTGAATCAGTTCCAGTATAAACACTAAAAAAGGTTAAAAATATCATAGGTGTTCAAATTCATTAGACATATGTGAAAAAGTACCAAAATATGTCACTTTTGAAACATTTAAAATCTTTCTGTCCTAGTTTTACCACAGTGACGGGCTGTGACTTGTGAGTGATGTGTGAGTACCTGAGGTCGCATCTGAGCTGCCCTCTTGGGATCGACTGTGCGGATGTGCTCGTAGTATTTGAGCGTGTGCTGCCTGTCCTTCTGTTCAGCACGTACGTACTTCTTCAGCAGAGTCAACACCTGACGGGCCTGGTTGTGGTTTATGGTGTTAGTGGGTTTATCACATTTCAGATACACTTGATTACATTGCTTGCCAGTAGAGAGGGGGAAAACGTCACCAAGAAAACTTTTATTAGTTGTGTCTAAACACATCTCCACCACTGAATGAATTCCTTTGTAACACACCCATGGACAAGACCTTTATTGTCTTGAATGAGAAAGTGTTATATCCACCAAAGGTTTGTGGATATGTTTATACATGCATGTTTACCCGTGGAGGGCTGGCCTGCAGGGCACTCAAGTAATTTTCCATAGCCTGGCGTCGACGTCTGTTGAGCAGAGCTTCTACTCGGGCATTGTGGGTTTCAATTAGCTGCTGCCTCTCTCCTTCTGCCTCCTGCTCCAAAGCCTCCACCTTCTCCTGGAAGTGCTGCGGAGCAAAGATGGGGTTGAAGATTTATTTTCTTTCTTTCAACTTTTAATCTTGTTTCTCTGCTTATCTAGATAATAACCTTACACTGAAAATAATACATATTCCAAGTTCTTATATTGTGTCCATGTGCTGGTTATTTCTTGGTACATGTCCAATATAAGCCAATTGAAACGCCTCTGTTATCTCTCACTGTGTATTAAATAATGTCAATGACTTATTAGAACCTCAGAGCCTAATATATCTAAATGTGCAGAATACAACACTTGATCATTATCTTGTCGTCTGTAGTAAATACTAACGGAACAAATTGTCAAAAACCACTGATTTGAAGCTTGGGAGTCATCTTTCACCATGACTTTCATTTTCAGCCAAGATGATTCAGCTCAAATGTTTTCATTGAAAACAGAGTCAACATTTACAAATTATGATATAAAACAAACACTAATAGCAGACGTTGTGTAGTGTATGTCCTACCTGGATAACAGCTTTCTTGTCAGAACGAGAAAGGTTCTTGGCCTGTCTCTCTGCCTCCTCCCACTCCCTCATCACCTGGACAACGAGAGTCACGTCAGGCACACAATGAAACCAGTTCATGGCTTTTTAACATGACAGCGGAAAAGGCATGTTTAGGATGAAAACGTCAACACACACACACCTGTGACATCTTTTCTCGATGTCTGGCCTCCAGGCTTTCCTTGGCTTTCTGGAAGTCAAAGTGTTCACTGTCGTCGCCAGGGGTTTCAAGGTACTGATCCACAGCGTCTGGAGGACTGGGGGCCATGGTGGGCACTGAGGGAGAACAGAGAAGGAAGTGTCAAGTGAGGGGCAGCGGAGAAAATCACACAGTAAAAACACGAGTAAAGAGGATGCAAGAACAGTGGATGCAGGAATAACACCGACCTCAGTGAGCATTCTATAAAGGCAACATTAGTTTCTGTTCAAGACTTATGACAGAAATTTCAAGAGGACAGTGAAATCTGCAATAAGTTTAAACGTATGTTAAAAACATATTATATGTTAGATACACACAGAAAATTGCTAGTTTAAGAGAGATGCAGATTGTGAGGGGAGTGAGGATGATAGGTTATCCAGTGTAAGTGTGTTTATATGTTCGTCTGTGTCTTTGTTTAACGTGGGAGCCTGGAGATAAGATGAAAAGTGTCTAGTCAGGATCAGGGCAGTCGCTGCATCACTGAGGAGTGTAGTGGAAAAATAGTGTGGTGGGAAACTATTTTGTAGTTGAAAATTAACGTTTATATCCCTGTCTGAGACTTTTATGACTTGAACTGTTTGTGACCTGAAACTTTTATAACCTTTCTAATACCTTTATGACAGGAAACTTATACAAATAAGTTTGTACAAAAGTTTGTACAAATAAGTTTCTTGTGTCTTAATTCCTGTCTCAAACTGTGCCTGAAGTCTGAACTGGCTCAGATAAGATCCCTGGGACTTTGTGTCTTAATCATTTCTGCAGAAAGCCCCTAAAATACACAAAGACAAATTTGGTAATCCAGCCTCTTGTTTTTACAGATTTCCATCACAGGAATGTGGTGCTTCCCTGGGTAGAAACAACAAATCAGCCCATTAACCTTTGTCAACACCCAGCCCGCAAGCACAAACTTAGTTAGTTAAGACTTGTTGACACTGTTTAAAACCAACAGCTCCCAGGTTAGACTCCTGTACAACACCAGCAGCCAATACAAGACCTTGCAACTGGAAAGCATGCAAGCATACAGTACGTGTACATAGATGCACGTACATCATGATGGCAGATAAGGTTCAGTATTTACACACCTGCTCCACATGCTGTAAGAAGTACGTTAGTGTGACTGGTTAGAACATGATGAAAAGAATGATTAAATTATGCGGAGGTGGATGACTGGCATCATGGCTTCTTTCCAACAGGGACACTCATTCTTTCCAATTGGCGTTTTTCTCCTTTCATTTCACTGCAGAGTTCAAACAAACTTATGGCTCTAGTTATGTAAAATGGTATTGATCCAAAAAACAAGTATCGTCTTATTAAGTATTCACATCAGTACATTACTACATTATGATCCACATGGGCACTGTAGCTTATTTTTTAATGTCAATCCCACATACACCTGCCACAAATACTAGAGAACCAAATGGTGTATGAATCCACAACTGAAAGTAGTCCCCAACAGATTCTCTATTTACAACTCTTTTGGCAATGTTTTGACCTGAGTAAGATTATAGTCTAGAATCTAGCCCCTTTAAAAGACTCGCTCAACATTTTGGGAGTGACATTCATTCATCCCCTTTTCTGCTAAATATGAAGCTACCACTAGCAGCCAGCTAGCTTCATTTAGTACGAAGACAGTGGCTGATAAGCATATTTTCTTGAGATTTGTTGAAAACAGGAAATTATCCTGCAGTGCTCAACACAGAACTAGAGGATGAGCAACAGAATCCACTTGTTTGTGCTCCGATTGGTTAAGAGCCATCAGTCACTCGTGATAGAGAGAAACAGAGACAGCGAATGAGATACAAGAGACAATCGGCAGGAGCCTGAGGACAGGAATCAGGCTTGTGGTGCGGACACTTCAGGGTTTAGATGACTCTGGTCCTTGGACTTACACGAGCTGCTGCAGACAGCAAGGCAGTACTCCTCCGACTCAAAGTTATTCCTGTTGCCCCCACAGCCCCCAAACAAGAAGGGAGCACAGCGGCCCTTCGTAGGCACGAAGTACCAGCGCTCCAGCATGGCATGACAAGGGCCTGACTCAGCACGAGCCCAACAGACAGCTGAGGTATGTGCACACAGGCAAACGCAAATTAACAATTAATGAAAAATGTGGGCTTCAGAATTTCATGAAAAACATAAAAATGTGGCATGTTTCATACTCAACAACATATTACAGAAAAAACCACCACAGACTGAACTCGTGTAAACAATGGGTGTGTGATGGATTGAGTTTTTACCTCGAACAACTTCTTCAACTGATTCAGTGGTTGTCGTGGTAGTGGTGGTCATGGCAATGTTAGCATTGCGCTCATCACTTTCCCGTTCATCGGTCACATCCTCTTCGTCTTCCTCATCCTCCTCATCATCTTCGTCGTCATCTCCATCCCTTTCATAGGTTTCCTCCTGTTCATCCTCGTCTTCATCATCTTCTGTAGTGGCGGGCTCTGTGTCTGCTGGACGTGACATGCTGCGAAGAGAGCGGCTGGTTCACGATTGTATAAACAAGTGTGTGTTTATGTATGTATATTGTGTATATGTGTGTGCAGTGTGCACATGTGTGTCCGGTGATGTTGATACCTGTTATCAGAGTATTCAGTCTCGGCTCCACCCCACCAGACGTCAGACTCTTCCCCTTCTACCTCTGTGCTTTCCGTCTCTCGCTCTGCCTCCGCCGGACAGCAGACAAACTCCACTCCTTGGAAACGGTCGATGCCACATGGCAACAGCATCCCGTAGTCATGGAGATTCATTGTGCGGTCTCCACAGGACTAATTTTAGACAGACATTAATCATGATTTCACATCCTCAATTTCTCACATATGAACAACATCCCAAGTGAAATCTTAGAACATTCAGTTACGTCAGTCCTTATACTGTAATTGTTTCTGAGGGCTGTTCGTTGAAGAACCATGAAAAATAATGATAAAGAATAATAGATAAAGTATAAAACAAACACAATCAGAACAAGTGGCAAAGTAGTTTTACAACAGATATGAGTGGTGGGAGGATGAAATTAAGGAGAGTCCCAGTGCGAGCACAGAGGACTAGAAGAGTTCTTGTTTCTTCTCACCTCTTTGGCTACTGTGTGCCAGTGCAGGTGGCTCTCACACTGGTCCATTCGCTCCTGGTGCAGGAACTTACACTTGTCTGGGACGAGCAGGGCATCGCTCACAAACTCCCCTACTGCAACGTGAACATGGATTTGTCTGTCACACCTAGTTCACTTATTCACACATGCAATCCAGCACACAAACACGCCAAGTAAAATACACCTTGATCAGTAAAGCTGCTTACCCAGGCAGCGGTATGGCACCACGATACGTGTGTGACTGCGGTACTGCTTGCGGCCTTTCTTGCTCCAGTTCTGGATGCTGACGGGCTGATTGGCCTCCACAACATTAGTGATCTGCAACTCTGGGTACACCTGGGGTCCAGTGAGAGATTGTTATGTTCTTTGTCATTACATTAATGCCTTATGCTTTTGTCTGCTTGCTAGCTTGCTGATTATGTGTGTGTGTCCCTATCTCTATCTGTCTCTGTACTGCTGTTTCACACGGCTTAAATACCTCTTGGCAGTACTGCAGGATTCCCTCCTTGGTGCCAATGCAGCTCTTGGTGCCGGAAGGGTCAGACTCCCATTTGCCCGTCTGTACATTGATGTGCATGTTGAGCTTTCCACAGAACATGGCCACCTGGGGCTCAGTTAGCAAACCCAGGGAGTCATCTGCAGGCACCTGGACGTACAACGGAAAAGAAAAGACAAACTATCAAAACCGTTTGCACCAAACTGACTTAAGTATCACTTGCCCACAAAAATCTCCTGAAGCAGCTTATGTATATTTAGATCCCCTCAGTTTATTCTGCGTCATTTCACTTCCAATCCTGGACATACATCTGTCTCTCTACATAGACCTAGAACAAGTGAATCAGAAGGATAAAGGCCTCTTTCAATCATTTCATAATATCACTGTACATTTAAGTTATTATATAAATAAACAAATCAAATCTCTACTGGTTTAAGCCTAAGCAAGGCTAGGTACTAAGTTTTATCCCACTGAGCCCATAAGCCAGAGAGCTAAGTATTATAGCTCCCGTGCAGCCCATGTCCCCTTTGTTAGCTTGTCTTAAGAGGCTTTATCCATTTCCTATATGAAAGTGCAATGAGAGTGTATTTGAGACGATACAGCCTTTTCTAGCAAAGAGCAGAAAAACATATTGAACCACAACTATCAGATCCAGCTGTTGGCAGCTTCTTCTATCTGATCCACCTGTTTAATAGCACATAGCTCTCTGCACTTACTCCTTCTCCTTCATTTAGGTTTGGGATAAATAGAATTTCCACTGTGTTTTGCCTTTCAAACCCTTTTATTCATGCTGACAACAGCCACCAAGCCATCTTTTGTCAGTCTTTAAATGACTAATTCCAAGCCAGTGAAGTTCTGCATAATATTATCTTCCTGTGAGTGGAATAGATTATAATTATTAATCTCTGCTAAAACAGTTTTCTGACCTTTAGTGCATAATATTTTCCATTAATTCATATAAATGAACGATTCAATTTTCTTTTTGAACATCTTGGCATGTCCACTACGCTTCATGCTGTTTAAAAAAAATAGAAAAAGTGCAGCAGTAAGCAGTGAGAGCATGAGCCAATGCTTGGTTGAGCACAAGGAGTGTTATGTCAACATGTAAGAGGCTCCAGAAATAAAAACAAATTGAGGTTTAGACTCTGTGGTCGCAACTCAGAAGGGTAGGGTTAACCTCCCAGAACCCAATCTTTTGTTTGGAATGCGTTTGATTTCTCCAAACTATTTGGGATTAGTATAAAAAACTAGGCATCCTTTTTGAACACAAAGTCATTAAGTCTCCAGTGTGTAACAAAACATAAATCTGTGTATGCCATTGCCCACTGTGCAGAAACAAAATAGCATTGTATAACTATATACATTTTCCATTAGCTTTAAACCCCATAAATCTAAGTTTAGGTCCATTAAAGGATACTGAGATAAACAACGTTGACAGTTTTTAAGGATAGTCCCTGGTTATCATCTGATGTGTCCTGCAGAATTGGATCCGTGGACATTTTTCACTGCAGCACACAGGGGTTTGGCTGAGGACTCTGCGGCTGAGAAACTCTCCCTGAATAACTCGCACGCACAAATGCAAGCATGCATGTGATTAAACACACGGTGTGTCTAATGACTCGAGATGTCCGCCTCGTTCATCCCTTTTCCAGCTGATCCTCAGCTTCATGTTTGTCCCCGGTCCGGCAGCACAAAGCTGCAGGCGCCATCTTCCTTGTGTCAAACTAAAAAAAAAAAAGGCTGCATCCTTTATTTTCTCCATTCCTCTCAGATGTCTCACCACACAGCAGAACCAGAACCACACGCTCCACATCAGCACAAGTGAAAAACAAGCTCTCTGGTGGAGGGGGCTGCTCATGCATCTCAGAGCTGAGGTTCCTGACTTGTGTGTGACGTGGTTGCAGCTGCTGTGTTTCCCAAGTTTGTCTAAACACGACGACATCTTTTAACATGACTGACGTGTTAGCAGATAGCGGTTGCCATGCCAATATGTGCCATTCTCTGGACAAAGCTATAGCCAATGTTAGCTTCCTAGATCCTAGTCATGGGATCACTGGCTGCGGGGGTGTAAACTCAGCTCTGTAACCAGCAGCAGATAACAGTGACTCGGTATAATAAGAAAAAGTGAGATTTGAATTTAAAAAAAGAAATCACTATAAGATAAACATGTGTCATACAGTAGCAGGGCCAGGCTGCCCCTCACACTCACATCCAACGACAGGCCCTGGTAGCATCGCTTTGCTAATTCTACGCAGTAAATACGTGAACCCGGAGAAACAAGGAGCTACAGCCCGTGAGTGGACGATCATCTCCCGGGTCCAGCTCAGTGACGGTGTGCGAGGTGGACTGGTGACAACGTCAGCACGGTTGTGACGGAACACACGACACGCTGGGTGTTATAACAATAACAACAACAGTTTAACAGTTTAACGCGTCATTCTTTCGCACGCCCGTCCCGTCCACCTGGAGGCCGGTGCGGCTGCTCGCAGGCCCCCGGCCGCAGCTCCGTTACTCACCTCGGCTGAAAGCGTCAAGGTCGCCGCCAGTAACAGCAAGAACGCCGTGTGTGCTCCCATGGCCTCCTCCTGCTGGTCCCCCACGCTGTGTTCACGATGTCTCCGCTAGTGGAGAGATGCGGATTAAAGCATGTAAACGTCGAAGCGGACGTGTGGGTGTTTGTTTATCGACGCGGCGGAAGCTCGAGTGCCCCAGATCCCAGATCCCGATCCTGCTGCTTCCTCCCGGTTGAGCTCCTGACGGCGGAGAGGGCGTGACGCTGCGTCCAGGGAGTGGGCGGAGGAAGGAGGTGGGAGGAGGTGGGAGGAAAGTGAATGTTTGATCGATGATGTATTGAGTGTTGTAAGGAGGAACATTCCTGCCAAAGACATGAAGGATTAAAGCTAAATCAAAAAGTATTAGATACACACAAAAAAAAATTAAAAATCGTAAAATTATAAAATAATAAGTCGCAAAAGTATAATACAGTAAGAGGAAATTGTGATACTGTCATATTCAAGACCTGGTAAGTCCCAGAATTGTAAAGTAGTAAGTCATCAAATTATGAGATGGTTATTGGAAATGTTGAGCTTGAAAGTTAAAGTTATAGATGGAAAATCCTGATTATGAGATAAAAACATTATGAGATGATATTATGAAATAATGACATAATAAGTCAAAAATAACGAGATACCAAGAGGTTGTTTTGAGTAACTCGTTATAATCTACCAGGGTTCTATGATGTTGGTACACACAATGCTAAAATTAACTTTATGGGATTTTTTTTCTCTGCGGAAACTCAAGACTCCCTCCTCTCACCATAGGAAGAAGACGGTTTCACTTTCCACCAAAGGCTCTCAGAACACGAGTGTGAATTGATCGTTTCCCTGTTTCCTGATAGCTGGGGTTTTCCACCACTTGCACTAGTGAACAGCACAGATTGGACTTATATGTACAGCTCCAGCAGTGAACATGAAGACAATTCTGGGATTGTTAATGGTTTTATCTGTTTCAGGTAAGTGTTCAAGGTTCAAATTCCTCAGGAGAGTTGGACATTGTCGTCCTCTCTGGAATGTGACTGAATAAATACAGCAGATCCATGTAAATGTACGTTATACACCTTGTGTAGATTTGTAATACTGAGTCATATGTTTTATCTGCTTCATTCCTGAGTCAAATCAGTTGTTTCCTTTTAGTGATATAGTGACGTTCTTTTAACAGACTGTTGTTGAACACATGAGTTTGATAAGTTAATAGTTTATTAGTTAATACTCATTTGGTTTAAAGGTACAGTGTGTAGAATTTAGTGATATCGAGTGTTGAAGTTGAATGTTGAACAGCTGAACACCCCTCACCTCACCCTCTCTTTCCGAACATGAAAAATAACCTCTGGTAGCTTCAGTTGTCATTAAAACCCAAAAGGTGTTTAGTTTGTTCAGTCTGGACTAATGTAAAAAACATGCTGGCCTCCGTAGAGAGGGTCCCCTCGATGTAAATATAAAGTATTTAAATATAAAGGGCCTTTTCTGGGGGAAAGAAAACTACAATTCATACAAAATAGATGAAACGAACTAGTCAATGAAAACATCATGAGGATTATTCTACATTAAATTTCTGCCAATAGTTCCCTTTCACCTAAATCTTGCACACTGGACCTGTTTTTGCTTATTAATTACATTTTGCTTGAGCAATCATTTACTTTGTTGTATTAATGTGTCATGATGTGGATATTTATATTTGGTTTGCACTGGTTCAATGTTCGTTTGTAAGATTGTTCTGAAAAAGCCAGTGACGAAGGAAAACAGACTGAATTACCAGGGGTTAATTCCAAAACCTGTTTAGAATTAAGAGAATGGATCAAGGCAATGGTTGTGCAAGATTTAATCCCAAACATTAGAGATGTTCAACATCGACATCAACATTGAAACAATCTTTCTGAACAGTTTTTGACTTCTATGATTTGAGGAACTTTACAAGTCTGTTTCTCTGCTGAGTGTGTGAAGATAATTAGAGAACAATTGAGGACTGAAGTAGCTCCAGTCTGTGCAGACACTGACTTCAGCTATATACGGTATATTCTGTAGCAGGAGCAGAACAAAGGAAGTGAGATATAGAGGGAAAGCACCACAAAACTAGACACATACTCAGGAAGAGGCTGCAGTCTTAAAAATCCAATATGTGCCGTGTTGTTAAAATGTTTAACTACATTTTAACTTTTAACCACAGGTGAATATTATTTATGTACAAAATGATGAAATTATCATACCTTGACAAAAATAAGAGGGATGGTGGCCAGTAAAAATAATAATACATTGATGATGTCACAGTAAAATGAGATTGTAAGATGGGATGTGTATAATATATTTAATTGTGTGTAGCTATTAATATCAATGCTATACAGTAGAACATATACAAGAAAAACCTAAGTTCTCAAGTTTTTGAGAAGCAGCAACTCACATTTTCAAAGCATCAGGGACACTTGTGTTTTTAAAGTATTACAGTGTGTGTGGATAATTGTTTTTCGTCTATGTCCCACAGGAAATACAGAGAATGTAGGGGGCAGTGTCCTTCTGGAATGCAACTGCCCAGACAGAGTGAAGGATAAAGACTTTAGGTGGCAAGTGGAAAAAACAATCCCAATAGTGGTGTTCCGTCAGAACAAGACCACCTCAGACATCGATAGCAATTACCAGGGCAGGGTCGGAATATTTGTGGCTAATAACAGCAGCAACTGCTCTCTGCTCCTGACCGACCTCACCGCAGCCGACCAGGGATTATACAAATGCAGTTACCATGGAAAAGATGGGTATGAATACCATGACATATACCTCAACGTTTCTGGTGAGTCATGATCTATACCTGCAGTATCTGATCACTCATCTATTCACCCATCAATCTACAGCAGAGTTTTATTTATTTTAACTGAAGTCTTCTCTCACCAGCAAACAACAGCCATCTTCCCAGCAACCTGATTCAAAACCAGACGGGTGGGTAGGTTTCTATTCTAGGTAGGTAGGTTTGTAGATTTGTAGGATGGGAGGTTGGGAGGTAAGTAGGTGGATATACTACAGCATATGATCAAACAAAGCTTGTCATTGGGTAGGATATTTAAAATAAAATCTTTGACATCAGTTAATTAAGAAAATATAGATTTGTTTGGTGATTCATTTTCATGTTCTTGCACATTTTAATTTTTTACAGATCCAAAGTCCTGTGTGCGATTCCCCAAAGTCATCTCCATCTTGTTGCTGCTCGGATTTTGCCTGGTCTTGTGGTACATGTTGAAATTAAAAAAGAAATCAACCCAGACCTGTATGTGTCATTCGGTCAATGGAAAGAAAAGAGAACTGGAGGCTGACAACTTCTGAGATGAATTCCAATGTGGAAGCACTTTCACCTGAACTGTGGTTAGTAATGGCTGTGGTATCAAGCCCACCAGTTCCCCAAATATTGCAGGTTTTATTCATCCAGACCTATTTATTATTTTCTGGGAAAACATTAAAAATGTTTTTTAAAAAATGCTCTCACAATGTTGAGAAAATCCTGGATGAGACCGCTCATTCAGTTCCACCTCAAATTGTCATGGGTTCTTTACTGACACATCCTTCCACCAAGTTTTCTGGAAATCTGTCTGATTGTTTTTGTGTAATTCTTCTATCAAACCAACACAAAATACCCCAACAGAGGTAAAAAACACATTATTTTCAAAACCTCATGGCGTATGACTTATTCTAAAGAGATTCAGGTATAGCTACATATACTTAATATGTGTGAGAATCTTGAGTAAATCCGAATTGCTTTATAAACCCTTAAAGAATAAGTTTGTACTTCCAGTCTTTATGTTCTAAATGTTGTTTAATCTTACAGAAATACTGAAAACTGAGCCATTTGGTGATTCAAATACACCCTGTTTTTGTTTGGAACAACTGTATAAAATATGAATTCAATATTATGAACACAATATTTCATAAGCTGTTTAACAATTGTACTGTGCATAAAATGTATTTGCTGGAATTTTCTTCATAAGGTCTTATGACAGGCACATTCTTTACATTAACATCAACCATGACATTAAAACATGACACCTATTTTAATCTGCTTTTGTGTAACGTGAACTGCAGGTTGACTAAATGTTGTTGTTTTGCTTGATTTTTTTCACCTTGGTAAATGAATATAATTCTATATAATATATGTTTGTCTGAGAATGAGCCAAAACTGAACATCCAAACAGCAGGAGACACTATTTCAATGTAACAAGATATTGAGGTTGATGTAATTTAACCCTGAGAACTGTGAAATTATCAAAGGAGAATCTGAAGCAAGCTGGAGCGGAGGGAATTGAAGTAACATGTTACATGAATGTGAGGAATTTTCTTTCATTTTTAAAAGTTTAAAAAGTTTAAAAGTAAACCTACTGTACCCACTACCTTGTGAATACCTGGACCTTAAAACAAAGACTGTCTTTAATGTGTGCAGGTCACTGTAAAGTTTTAGCAAGTACTGTATTATATTGGCCATCAGGTACTTCTCTTATTACATTTCCAACATGTTCAGACTGGTTCAGGGAATGTGCACAGATAACTAATTCAAACTTACCATTGTCTAGCTGGAAGAATTGTGTAAACATTCAGCAATGTGGGTTTACAGTATGTTATCTACCAGAAATCAGCGTAGGCATTTCTGTGCTTGAATAAATCACAAACATCATTTCCAAGTGAACGTTAATCTTGTCAGAATCTCATGGACCTTGTCACGATGCCTGTTGCTGTCTGTTTTTTTCTGCTCACATAATTCTGAACTTCAACACAGATAATTATTCACAGAAGTTCCAATAGTATCCAATCACATTTTCTGAATCGATGTAACATTTGAAATAAAACTTTAAAAATAACTTTTTTTTTTCCTGAGAATACAATCTGTCACTCATCAACCAAAACACAAAGGACGCCGCTACGTCATCACTGCGACTGACGTGATGAAATAACAGGAAGTTGACACGGGTGGCTAAGCGGCTAGCTCGAGGCTAGTGAGCAGAAATGAATCTGCACGTAATAAATAGTTCCGTGTGTTTTCACAGGCCGGAACGAAAGTGACATCTTATTCACGGTAAGCTCAGTTTCCAACAGCGTGAACGACATGTTGTTCAAATGTCAACGAAGAGGTCATTTCTGCAGGAAGGGGGTTAGCTTGATGCTAATAGATGTGGAAATAGACGATCATGTCAGCTTAGAAACGTCATCTCTATATGTAAACGTCACTGTGAAGACGTTTATGTGGACCCTGAATGATAAATATCACAGACTCACCGTGACACGAGCAGAATAGTCAGCAAATCCAACTTAAAGGAGCATTTCACCCTAAAACAGTTGGAACGCTGCACAGCAGAGAGATGCCACCACAGCCAGTGAAGCGTCTTCTGTACAGGCAGCAGCATTTGGGGGATTCCTGGGTAATGGGCTTATTTTAATGCAGTTATAAACCTTATCCACTTAAAGCACATGTACTGTAACATGTGTTCATACTGGACGACTGTAGAGAAAGGAAGTAAACATCTCAAATTGCATCATATAGAGCTGAAAGTGTTTGTTTGCTGCAATCTGTAGTAAAAGTATTACATCTAGAGCTGCAATGATTTAGAGGATTGCATTAGAATACTCGTATTTACTACATTCAACATTATTGTCACTGGAATATTTTAGGGTTTTCAATTATTGTTAAAAGAAGACATTTAATTACAAAAAGTTTCAGGCTGTGAGATCTGGTGATAAGCATTTTTTCTTTATTCATTTTTCTGGGGTTTTCTAGGTCAGATAATCAATTGAATAATTGAGGACAAAAATCGTAGCAGTAAACCTATCCCAGCCAAGTGGTCAGCGATGGGGATGTTTATACAACTGTAGCCGGCCCAGCCAAAAAAACAAATTGTTAACTTACTGACTGATTATTGCTGTTGTTGCTGTTTTAAGTTAATTTTTAGTGGATGCAGTAACAGTGAATTCATCTTTTACAGTACTGCTGCAGCGCACAGCCACACAAGGAACCTGCGATGGGCCAACGAAGGAGAGTGGCAGCTGTGAGTAATCCTTCGCCTCAGGGAGGATCTGGTGCTCCTGCAGAGTCTGTCAGGGTCTTTAACAGGAAGCATAACATTTGCATGGTGTCTGACTTCTTCTATCCAAATATGGGAGGAGTAGAAAGTCACATCTACCAGCTTTCCCAATGTCTGGTTGAAAAGGGACACAAGGTGGTAATCGTCACCCATGCCTATGGCCGGAGGAAGGGTGTTAGGTACCTGACCAATGGACTCAAGGTCTACTACCTCCCCCTGCAGGTGATGTACAACCAATCCACAGCCACTACCTGTTTCCACAGTCTCCCACTGCTGCGCTGTGTGTTCTTCAGAGAACGCATCACTGTGGTGCATGCACACAGTTCATTCTCCGCTCTGGCCCATGATGCACTGTTCCACGCCAAGACCATGGGTCTGAACACGGTTTGTGACTCATAATGATCCAGATTTTACTTTTAAAAATCTTTTTATCTACCCTTTTATCCGTGCCACAGGTGATCTAAAGACTATAATGATTCACAGGTTTTCACTGACCACTCACTCTTCGGCTTCGCTGACATCAGCTCTGTGCTGACCAACAAGCTCCTCACTGTGACGCTGTGTGATACCAACCACATTGTGTGTGTGTCGTACACCAGTAAGGAGAACACAGTGCTCCGAGCAGCGCTCAACCCAGAGATAGTGTCCGTTATTCCCAATGCTGTTGACCCTCTGGATTTCACCCCAGATCCCTCCCAGCGCCCCGACGACATAATCACCATTGTGGTCATCAGCCGTCTTGTCTACCGCAAAGGTACAGAGAAATCAACATTGAATAATCTATGTATTTCCAAATGGCTGTAGTCAAGGCAGTGGAGTGTTATGATGACTGAAAAAAAACATTTTCATCAATTAATCTTCAGGGTTTCTAAGAATACATTTTTATTTACATCATACTTTTATTTAAAAGAGAGAACATGACATAATGATCACATTTTTTCAGCCTCATAAATCCAGTTTCAGTATATAAAGTGTTCTGGTATATGTGTTGCATTACATTCATTGTTAAAACAAATTTTCTGTTCTTCCTCTCATAAGGAATCGATCTTCTCGGTGGAATAATCCCAGAGCTCTGCCTCAAACATCCAGATCTGCACTTTCTAATTGGTGGAGAGGGGCCAAAGAGAATTGTGTTGGAGGAAGTGAGAGAGAAGTACCAGCTGCATGACAGGTCTTGCTCATATTTCCTGAGAATTTTTGACCGGATGGTATCATTTCAACATTTTTGAGGGTATTTTCCCTGTAAATTGAAGAAATCTATACTCTACCTACTCTGCCTTAATGGAACCTCAGATATTAACATTGCACCAGACACATTTTCTGTCATAAAAGTTGACAACAGTGTTTCGTTTTTATTGTTATTTATTGTACCTTTATTGGATGTGCCTAAATTCTTTCAATTGTAACTCTGCAGAGTGCGTCTGCTTGGGGCTTTGGAGCATAAAGATGTCTGTGGCGTTTTGGTTCAGGGTCACATCTTCCTCAACACATCACTGACTGAAGCGTTCTGCATGGCCATTGTCGAGGGCGCCAGCTGTGGACTTCAGGTCTGGTGCCATTCATGCAATAGTTTATTAAGAGGAAATAATGATGTGTGATAGAGGGCAGACAGTGGGAGAGTTTTCAGTCAGAAGATACAGTATCCAGTTGATAATTTACTTTTCACTGGATTAAAGAGTAAACTGATCATAAAAATCACCTAATGAATTATTTATAGTTGTAAAACTCATGAATCTACATGGAACAATATTACCCACAGCCTGATTTGGTAATGATTGTTTACGTTTGTATTTACATTTACTTTCTGAAGCTTATTCCAACACAAATGATGAAATTGATGCTGCAACAGTTGATCATCCATCACACACATCCATCTGAATTCATGTCACAAAGCAAAATATCAAATTCTAAACAATCTGTTGAAAAAAATGTTTCACCCATGGATATAAAAAAGTAACAAATCAAACATTTGCAAATCTCATCAGCTTTCTGAATTTATTTTAATAGAGTTAAATAGAATTGGGATGATACAGCTGTAGTTAAATCTTGTCACAGATTTCCTGTGGGTGTGTGCTCATAGGTTGCTGCTCAATTCTGTTTCATAGCACATGAAGAGAAAAGGGGGAGAGGCAATGTGACATTAATAACCTAAATGGTTACAAATGGAGGAGAAAGGCTGACGATGCAGGACCCAGACAATCACATGTGACAGAGGAAGTTTGGTCAGTTTGTGTTTGACGTCAGAGGAGAAGAAAACAGCACTATCAGCACTTAATTAAGGAACAGCAATAACAGAATAATATGACTGGTAAATGGCCAGCTTCCGCTGTTCAGTTTATCTAAGGGACACGTTGTGTAGTTTTACACTAAAGTGGTCTTTCTCCCAAAAACATTTTATGATGCTCCTTTTTCCAAATCACTTTCTGAATAGTTATATCAGAAGTGGTATGTGCAAAGTTAGCTGACAACATCAACATTGAGATTAAGATCCAGACGGATATTTGAGCGTGTCTGTACACACTAACAACAGCACCCACACAACTTGGGTTGCTGGGTGTGTACAGATAGAAAACAGAATCACTCAGAAGAAGTCAGATGAAATTACTGTTTTTTTTCACCTTATACTAAGACTGTGTTATACTTTACAAAGTGTGTTAAAACCTTTGAAGTGATGCTGTTGTACTCTCATACTTGCAACATTCATACCTCTGTGTATGTATTTGTCTTCACTGCATGTGCATCATGTTTTGTTTTATTTCTAAGGTGGTCAGCACTCGTGTTGGAGGCATTCCTGAGGTGTTACCAGAGGATCTGATCACCCTGTGTGAGCCCACTGTTAGTTCTTTGTGCGCTGGTCTAGAAACTGTCATTGCCCGGCAGCGGTCCGGCTCTGTCTCCTCCCCCGCATCCATCCACGCACGTGTGCAGAACCTCTACACCTGGAGAAACGTTGCAGAAAGGACTGAAAAAGTAAGTTCACCAACACCAAAACCTTCAATTATTTCTTGTAAGTATCACTTCAGTACATGTAAGAGCGTGTCTAAGTGCTGAAGACATTCTTGTCTCTTGGATTCTATGAGTGAATCACAAATGTGTGGACTTAATTGATATGTTTATCAGAAGGTGTGTTTATATGCACCTCAGTAATGCCTGATTTTTTTCACCACTTGGCGTTGGAACCCAAAGCACATGATAAGTTGATATGATGAACAAACATGTTACACAACCAGCAGTTAAGGAGCAATAATATCACCAGACGATCTGAATCACAGATTACATAAACCTGATTTTCCTAAAAGCAAAACAATTAATGTGTGTGTCTGTGTGTGTGTGTGTGTCTGTGTGTGTTACAGTGCGCTGCAACTTTCTCTTAATTCTGCCTCAGTATCTTTTACTGTGATCCGTATGCTGGTCTTGATATTTCCACATCCAGCTGGTCATATGTCTTGCGCTAGCACTATATTTACTGTCCACCATTTTACATTGTGTTGAATTTTCTCATAATGCCATTAATACACACAGAGGACTAGAAAATACTTCTAGATAACAAGCTGACTATGAAAAATGCAGCATTTTATAGATTTAAAAATGATCATTGTGTCTCTGCTGCTGTCAGTGATGAGACAACATGATGCTGACACAATACATAACTCTGCTGACTGTGTGTTATGATTTACTATTCAGAGTAATAGGTCTGTACTCGCTTCTCAGAAACTAAGAATGTCACGACACATCTGTGTGAGAGAGTGTGAGAGAGCGTGAGAGAGCGTGAGAGAGCGTGAGAGTGCGTGACAGTGCGTGACAGTGCGTGAGAGTGTGTGTGAGTGTTTGAGAACTGTCATCTACAGTTGAACTATTGCAAAACTGTGTTCTTATTTCAGAACCTGTGCAATAACTGCACCATCAACACACATACACAATTAATACATGTCTTGTATCACTAATACAGTCAGAATCAGGACGCCCTGTTTTCAAAGATATAAGATATGGGAGGATTGTCGAAATCTGATTACTGACCTGATGAATGTTTACACAGACACATTTTTTTATTTTCCATGTTACCTGGTTTGTCCTGTTTGAATGTAAGTGTACTGACAGCTGCGGTGAATCGTTTGTCGACTCTCATCATTGTGTTTTCCCCCACAGGTCTACGACAGAGTGGCTGGAGAGGAGGTACTGCCTTTGGACAGACGGTTACGGAGGCTGAGGGCTCACTGCGGCCCCGTAGCCGGCTCCATCTTTGCATTTGTGGCTGTTGTAAACTTCCTCTTCCTGCTGCTCCTGCAGTGGTTGTGGCCAGATCGGTTCATGGACGTCGCCATGGACGCCACTGGCCCTCACGGACTGTGGAAGCATGAAATAAGCAGTAAAAAAGAAGCTTGTTTTAAAAGAGCCACACTCTTAGAGGCAACTACTAGATGCTGAATGTGCTAACCCCAAACACTGTTTACATTTACCTATCAAAGGGACCTTGTGTGAAAGCATTTTATCTCTATTTTTATATTTACAAATTAAAATGGAAATCTGCAGGAGCCCTCGAGACTGTAATAAGCACTTTTTTGATTTGGTATACAGATTTTAAAAGGCACTGACCAGAGTGAGTAAAAGGGCTGACAAAATAATACTCTTACTGTTCCATTGTTCATAACCGCAGTAAATTATTTTCAGTCTTGTTTTTATGTTTTGGGCAAATCTTTATTTTATTTTGATACCACTAATTTAACTCCTTTGTTTACGTTTTCTCTCCTCTGTGATTTACTGAATATAAAACCTGGGAGTTTTTAAGATGCTTGTGTGACTCCCAGACTGTCCACTCCAGAAAATAAAGTGTACTTTCAAATATTTCTTCTGTTTTCACGTAGTGTTTTATTTAGGTTGTCTCCAGTTTTATATTGCAAGGACAAAACACCCAGAAAGACATTGGAGAGCCTTTTTGCTTACAATTAGTTTTACAAAAGCAACAGCTCTGTGGAATGAGGAGTGCCAGACAAAAGACAAAGAACTTGTGAAACGGGAGGTGGTAGAGTTGGGATGGCGGGGCTATTCAAGGCTGACAGTCCAGATTAGCATAGCGTCGTGATTGGAGGTCGGAGATTATATTACGTCTGCAAAAAAAGCCTGGTGAGTTGAGTATGGAGACAGCTTTAAATACTGAACTTTGTCATGTGTTACATTTGCAATGATAACAAGAGCTGCAGATATGTGACCATAGAACAAATTTGTAAAGAGACTCAAGGAGAGTTGTTATATCTCATCATGGTAAATGTCAGAGGATGTAGATGTGTTTTATTGTAAGTAAGAGACAGAATATTTGAATCCGCAGACTTTTTATAGTAAGATACAACTGTGCCTTTAGCTTACAATGTGCTGTCATAACAGAAAGTTCCCAATCACACATAACAGATTTGGCGAGATGAAATACAGCTTATAGCTCTTAAACCTCCCAAATATGGAGAGTGTGAAACTTGTCTTTGTTCGTCCCTCTGCTTGGAGCCGGTTACATGCCCATTACTAAGTGTTTTCTTCAAGGTACATCAGTGAAGGCGCGTTCCCACAACCATTGTTTAGCACATACTGTAATGTAGAGTAGACTAAATCCATGGACTGGGATAAGGGTGGGCGGAAGGTGGTAATGTGGGGGAGGTGGCCAAGGACCCACATAAGAGGGGGAGGAAGGCCGAGTCCAGGATTGTGTATCCGACTGGGAGAGCTTGAGTCCTGGACAGTCGTGGAGAAGTCTGCTGCTCTTTCATTTTCATCATGGCTGCTGTTCAAACCGAGGTTTCCCTGTGCCCAACTTGGCAGAGGCCCTTGTATATCTATGGGGGGCTGGCATGCAACTCACTGATGGCTGGTAGGTGTTTTTATTATTTTCTATTTGGTCAATTCGGCTCCGTTTTTTGTGTTTTGGGAGAAACAAGGCTCACACAATCGATTAAGATTTATTTTTCATCAACAATTGATCAAAACTTCCGGCAACAGGGAGTTTGTCTATGGCACATCTTTATATTAAAGCAAAAAATACATGTCTTCATAGTTTTCTAGGTTTTTTAACAGTTACGTTTTTGAAACTACAGATCAGCAAAACATGGAAACTTTGTAGAGAGGTTTTGTTGACCTGCTCCACAGTGGTCAACAAAACCCAGAGTGTGTATTGTTCAGTGATTTTGGGTGTTCAGGGTTGGTCCGGGCCTGAAAAAACGAGATAAGCGTGTATTCGGATGAGGCCATCTCAATCTAAAAGAGAGCACCATCTATCTGTGACTTTCCTGAACATGGAGACCTGACTGATCTTGTTTTTTGTGTGTCAGACTACTGGTCGGACAGGACTCCTCTCCATGAGGCCGCCTACCAGGGCAGACTGCTCCACCTCCGAAGCCTCATTGCTCAGGTAAACATAACCCAGCTCTGTCTTGATATTTATGATAGATGCTCATATGATGAATGAAAAACCTGATGATTCTCTTATATTTCCTGCAGGGCTTCCACGTGGACACACTCTCCATGGACAGAGTCTCTCCCCTGCATGAAGCTTGTCTCGGTGGACATTATGCGTGTGCCAAATTCCTGGTGGACAAAGGTGCAAATGTAAGGGCGCTGCCTAATTTCAGTTGAAGGAATGAGATGACGTTGGAACTCCAGCATAAAAACAGAATTGGGAAGCTTTTCATTGGAGGAATGTAGTGTGTATTTGTATGATGGACCAAATTCAAAGTCTTTGTTCTGCATTAAAAGAGAATGTTGTACTTTGTCTGGAGTTAAATCAAGAGCTTATCTTCCAGTATTAGTCTTTTTAGTTAAAAGCTCCCTGTTTGTGTTTCTATGACTCCACTGCAGCTCAACAAGGAAACACACAGGGTGCAATACCAGAAAAATTTTGGACTTAGCCATGAGAATTTCGCAAAACATACAGATGCCATAGCAGTTTTTAAGATAGTTACTGGTCTCTCTCCTTCTCTTGATGTTTACTTTTAAAGATGGAAAACGTTAAGCAGGGGAGTGTTTCTAATGTTGTATCTCCCATGTGAGGCTAGTGACTAAATATCCAACTATGTACAACTGTGCAGTAATAATTATGCAGTGGAATCACGTGCCTTCATGATCCCTCCAAAGGTGAACACAGTATCCACAGATGGCGCCACCCCTCTCTTCAACTCCTGCAGCAGCGGGAGTGCTGCCTGTGTCAGGCTCATCCTGCAGCACAGTGCCCTCATCAGCACCACCTATCAGCTGGCATCGCCCATACACGAGGCCGCGAAGAGAGGTGTGTATGTGGAAACATGTATGGGTGTTAAAGATCTGTCACTGCTCAGACTCTGACGCTGGGGTGTTTTCCATCAGGCCACAGAGAGTGTCTGGAGCTGCTGCTGAGCTACGGGGCACATGTTGACCTGGAGCTGCCAGTAGTGGGGACTCCGCTGTATGCTGCCTGCACAGCTGGAGCCGCTGTCTCTGTGGAGGTGCTGCTTCACACAGGTAAGATCAATCTGTGACCGCAAATTTGCACTTTCTTTGATTTCTTTTGATATTACATTTGAATTTCTGAGTGCTTTAAAGATACCGTCAGTTACACAGCAAGTAAAATAAAATATAAAAACACAGTCCCAAGGCCTAAAGTACTTTTGGGAAACCATATTGAAAGTTAGTAGTTCCAGATTTTTATTTGGATCTGCAACAGGTTTCACACACTCGTGGATATCACGTTAATACACCTGATAATTGTTTCATCAATATCAATGAATTCTTTTAATGTGAAATCAATAAAAACTCATATTGTTACAAAAAGAAATCTTGGATCCACTCACTTATCTGGATCTGCACCAAACTTGAATGGATTCTTTCTTTGCTCATGCTCCACACCTATCTAGTATAAAGAACTCAAAGTAAACAGATATATTATCCTTCTCCTGTTTCTTCAATGAACGTTTTTCAGCTAATGTCCATTCTTGTGTATTCCATTTAATAAATCAGTACACTGATGTTTTAAGATATAAGAGGTCACTTTTAAATGTACAGTAGATAAAACGATCACAATTGAGTTTGGCAAGAAGAACCAAAGACAACAATATCGACCTATGTGCCCCTGTCAGACCATTCCCTCTCATACTAGTGTAAGCATATACTATGTTGTATATTGCATGCTGAAGTGTCCTTGGGCAAGACACTGAACCAGATCGCTGCTGATGGCTTGACTGGCAGTGTGCAAACAAGATGCATGACTGACTTAGTTAGGAAAACATTTTTTTTTTTGAATCTAATTAATACAAAAAGTTTGATCTGCAAGCCCAAGTTAACTTATTTATGATTTGATTAACAGTAACTTTTTTGGCAATCACTTAGGATTTGATGCTTTTATTGTCGTGTGACTGAATGTCTTTGGGTTTTGAATTGTGAATCTTATATAAATTTTGTGTGTTGGGTAACTTGTGATGGAATAAGCTTTCCAAGACACAGATGTCTAAATAATGACTTTTGTTTTTTAACGACATCATCATACTGTCATCTCTACAACCTTGGTTGCCATGGTAACTGCTTGTTTCTAATCTCTTTCACAGATCAGAGAAGTGGGTGATGTTTATGGCTTGAAGCTGGGCTGCAAATAATCTAATATTATTCATAGCTCTGCTTTAAGTTCCCATCTTATAATGTTTCCATTATAGCAGCAGATTTTCACTCTGTATTATTACTTTTTCTCATCAAAGTGGTGGAGTCTGGGAGGAAACATGTTGGTTGTGGTGTGCTTCAGTTATCCAGGAGATAAACCCTCTCTGCTTGTGCACATGTAGGAGCAGACGTTCAAATGGGGTGTGGACAGGACAGTCCGTTACATGCTGCAGTTCGAGGCGGAGGAGCCGACGTCGTGGACCTTCTGTTGGACTTTGGAGCTGACGCGTGTTGTAGGAACCAGGAGGGCAAAACTCCTCTGGACCTGTCAGCACCAAACAGCACAGTGAGAACCACACTACAGAAAAGAGGTGTGTTGTAAAGTATGAAGGCCCTCGCATTCATGTTATACACACAATCTAACACTGATTCATTCATTCCCTCGTGCCAACCCTGCTCTGTCTCCTCTGCCCAGGTCCGTGCACTCTGTATCAGCTGTGTCGGTTCAGTATTCGCAGAAGTCTGGGAAGGAGTCGACTGCACAGAACATCCAGCCTGTTCCTTCCTCACAGTATCCATGACTTCCTCCTCTACCAATAAAACATCTCCACGATGCTTGAGGAGTGGGCAAAGACATTCACATTTAGAGAATTATAGCTTTTTCCATCCCATGTCTTTTATCAAGCGGCACATTGGTGCAGTGGTTCGAACTGTCGCCTAAAAGCAAGAAGGTCCTTGCGTTGAATCCTGGCGTGGCTGGGTTCTTTCTGTGAGGAGTTTGCATGTTCTCTCTACATCTGTGTGCATTTCTCCGGGTATTCCAGTTTCCTCCAATAAGACCGAAGACAAGCAGCTTAGGTTGTTTTGCAATTCTACATTGTCCGTAGGTGTGAATGGTTGTATCTGTATATCAGCCCTGTGATCTGCTGGTGGCCTGTTGTAACCAGCCTCTTGCCCACTGTCAAAGGATGGATGTGTATAATAATTACTGTTCCCAAAGAGTTCAGAGATATATTCATATTGTAGCCACTGTGATGTATATGTATACTTTTAAGGAAAGTAACTGGTGGTTAAATAGTTTTTGGTGGCTCCAGGGAGTTTGGGTCAACAGAGTAAAGGGACTCAATAGCTCCCGCCATGTCTCTGCATAAGGCAAGCGACTCAGAGCCACATCAGCCGGCCCGCAACTAGCATAACACACCAGAACGTACAACGATCTGTTAATAATCAAAGTTGAATTGTGGGTAGTGCAGATGTCTGAAAGGTGATATTGATATAATATATAATGGTCCACCATGACAGTTTTGCATGAGTGCAATACTAAATCTTCACTTTGATATTGTAATACAGGTTCTTACAGAATATGTAGAATGAGCAAACCTCTGTATTCACTGAGAGTTCATTTATATTTTGTAAAAAGCATTCCAATAAATAACAGCATGCCACCAGTCTCTATATTAAAATGAATAGATCGTGATGTGCTGCAGAGTCGTGCAATATGCTTTAATTTTCTGGGTGTGCATAATGTAAGAAACAAATCCTCTCATTTATACCTGTATGGAGAACAGAAAGTTTGTATTTTTCAATTTCCTGTAAATTTCAGTAAGAGACAAGGATCTGAGAAACCGAGGAGAGTACTTTATTTTCATGGCTGGTGTTTCACAGAGGGAATTCACTTCCCATTCTCAAATGCCAACCTCAAAGGTCTCCTCTGCAGAGACCTGAACAATCTGGTTTGAGCTGATCTCACTTGACGTTTCTTTACCTAAACAGCAAAAGTTTTTTGACAGTGGTGTACACCCAGTTCACGGTTGATTCAAGAACTTGGCTGTTGACATTTTCTATGAAGCCAAAGTTCCCAATGTACACGGAGGGGCCAGGCCACACTCAAAGAGAAGGTCCTCAGAGGTCAAAAGGTTAACATGGAATAAAGATGGCTGTCTTGTCTCCACTTCCTCCCACTGTCCAGAAATGAATACAAAATATCCTGTATACGAAGTCTGCCATCTTGAACATCAAGATCGTGAGCAATTGGGGGATGAAAATATAATGTTTCAGTGTAATAACTACTACCTAAAATGACTCAACCCATCTTTGGGAAAAGTGTTTAATGTGTAGTTGGACTTGTAAGCTTGGTCTATTCCCATACATTAACATAGGCGAAGGGGGAAGTATTGTCTATACTGCAGCCAGCCACCAGGTGGCGAGGGAGAGGCGAGGGAGAGGCGAGGGAGAGGCTTAGGCTTCTCTTTTTGGGAGCTGTCAGTGCAACAGAAGGAAGATAGAGTTTCATATTATATGGAAATAAAAACATTTAAAAACAACAGCAAATGCATCTGTACCTAAAGAAACGTGATTAGGGTGTGAAACATTTGACATAATTCCTTCAAACTAAATCCACACAGATGTAATTTACAATATACATATTTAAAAATGGAGCTCATTTGTATGTATATAGCATATTTCCATGCTTGAATTTATTGGTGTGAATGCTGAAAAGGAAGTTATTTCAGCGTTTTCTGCTATTTTGAGCCCAACAACGACTGCATACTTCAACTGGTTTTAACCATTCAACCATCAAAATACCCAGCTCATAAAGGACACGTCTGCTTTTCTTCCTTCAACTCATATTTTTGGAAACATTTTTGGAATCTTTCGATGTTGTATGAAAAAATCCGGTTCTTCTTTATTCGGTTTACTGGCGGGTGGCAACCAACGATGTGACCCCCAGTCCAGCTAAAGTTTATGAAAACCAGGATGTTTTCAAACGGTGGTTATGTTAGTACTTGCACTATTCTGGTGGTTCAACCGTCTGGGAGATGTGCAGCATAGTTGCTTGTTGAAGTGTTTGCTGAAGCTTTTGCTCATCAGGTAAAGAGCAAACGGGTTCACACAGGAGTTGGTGAAAGCGAAGATTCGAGCACACACGCTAGCAATGAAGTGGCCCAGCGATGTGTCAACCTGGTCGTAGTTGAAGGAGCGGTACAGGTAGATCACGTGACTGGGCAGCCAGCAGACAGCAAACAAGCCAACAAACACCAGCACCGTTTTGGCCAGTCGCTTCCTGGACCTGATCTGAAATGAAAAAAAATATTTTTTCTAACCTAGTATTTTGGGGACTTAATAGATTTGTATTATTTCCTGATATGGTTCATGTAAAGACCACAGTGTAAGTAAAATAAACAGAGGACTCCTCACACAGACCTGTTTCTGGAGGTGAAGGTGTCCTTCAGACGGGATATCCACAGAGCTTCTGAGCAGGCTGCGAGCTATGAAGCAGTAGTAGACAGTTATGATGAAGAGTGGGATGATGTAGAAGATGAGGAAGGAGGCGGTGGAGTGGATCTGCGGGTGCAGCTTCCTGGCGTGAGGGTAGGGCGCACAGGTCATGAACGTCTCATTGGTGTGGCTGGTGGTGAAGGCGTGCAGGTCAGAGAAGACAGCTTCAGGAATCGCCAGGATCATAGAGAGCAGCCAGATCACCCCCACTCGTAAACAGATGCTGGACCTTCGGTTGTCTAGCGGCTTGACGATGGCTTTGTACCTATAGGATGAGGACAAATCGGTAGACTAGGCCAGCTTTTGAAACCTGTGCTGAGTTTTAAACTGCAGGAAAATAAATTAAGTAACCAACAAAATGGTTTCATGTTCAGGATGAACTGCATACTGAGACGAGAAAGACAAACTCTTGAAATAAATTTTACTGAAACAATAACCAAAATGGGCTCAAAAGGAAAACTGGTAAGATTTTCTCATTTGTCTTCTTTCAAAGCTCTTGGCCAGCAAGCTTTTCCCTGTTATTTAGTCACGTCATGAAGAATTTGAATTACAGTTTATCCGTACCCCCATAAAACTCAATAGATGTTGAGCCCAACACTTTCATTTCACCGTGGTTTTGTTTTCATGTGATATGTATTAATTTGATTTCCAGGCTGTGGCTACATGTTACTCTCTGTTGGGTTGTGTTTCAAGGAGCTCTGTCCTTAGACTAAAGTAGATCTAGCTGTAGAAATATGTGTTATTCTCCTACCTTGTGTTACTATGGGTGTGGAGATTTAATAATGATCTAAATGTAAGTTTCTCTCTTTCAGACTTGTGAAACAGTCCTGTTTAGTACCACTGAGTACTTACAGCTCCTGGACACTGTGAAGGACCTCAGAGATTCCTTCTATAACGGCAGGACTATGATTAAGTCTGTGAAAAATTGGGGTCTCCTGCATGAAAGCAAACAGAGTCAGCTTGAGGAGAAGCTAAAAGAAATGCATGAGCTCTCTGAGATTGAGACTGAGAAAAGACATGCACGCACCAAAGCCCATATTGGCAGCCTGGCTGAGCTTTCTCAAAAGGAGAATGAGCTAAAGAGCAGTGAGCTAAAGTGGAGCACAAAAGTGCAGTCTCTTGAGGAAGAAAACAGGGTTCTCCAGGAGCAGACTGACCTGCTGAAAAGCCAACAGAGCCAGCTTGAAGAGGAGCTGAAACGAACGCTTGAGCTTCTCAAGAGAGAGACTGACAAAAGGCAAGCACCCACAAAGAAGAGCAAGCTGCACACAGGAAGTTCGCTGAAGAAGAAAAAGAAGACACACAAGAAGCAATCTCCAAAAAGGAAAAGGGGAAATAAGCGCTGAGGAGCAGAATATAAATAAATAATATAATGTCTCTTAAAAACAAGAAAGAGGTTTTGGCGACAGGCATGAGCAGATTATTACTGCATCACTTACATCACTTGTTTTCTGTGAGGGGAAGTAAATACATGAGAGATGATATCGTGAATGTTACTGTGTAGCAATTTGAACAAACATTGACTCACAACAACATTTATGTTAGACTCAGTCTTTTCTCATCAACGTAAATATTGTTATTTTGTTGATGTGCTCTGCTACACACAACATCTACTACACTTCTCTCCATCCTGGGAGAGGGAGCCCTCAAATGTTGCTCTCTCTGAGGTTTTTATGTTAATATGTTGTTGGGTAGTTTTTCTTCACTCTTGTTGAGGGTCAAGGACAGAGGATGAGACAAGTTGTGAACTTTAGATATGGGCTCTACAAATACAATTTGATTGATTGTTTTTTTTTTGGCTCTTTCCTTCCACTCTGACCTACACGTAGCTTACTCAATATTTTAAAGCATTGCTTCTGGAGGTGGGGACATTTTTTTGAGGTGAACTAATCACCAATTGCTCCCATGCAGTTTTGCTCTGTATTTTCCTTCACCTCTGTCGTTTTTATCAGCACTAAACATGCCAGGGTGAGAAGTGTTATGTACATTACTAGCTACTATACTGAAAATGCATCCGGGATAATGCAGAAACTATCTCAGACCAAATTCAGGGATCATCAGAGGAATTTCTCCCCAGGCATTGGATTCCACATTAAACCCATTTCTCAGTTTAAATAAGATTTGCAGAATTTCTCTTTTGGGGTGAAATGTAATCCTGTGCATAAAAAACGTGATTTTACCCAGAGCAAGCTCAAGATTGGAACAAAAGTTAAGAGCGTAATACTCTATTCTTCTGCATGGATTTCATTTATTTTCAACAACCCATATGTTTGAGGTGTGAATTCAAATTTTGTTTTTGTACATTTAAAACGAAAATTTCAAAAACAACCCCTCCATTTGTTGGCCTACCGATCAGCGGAGAGAGCAGTGAGGGTGAACACGGAGACTCCCACCGAGGTGAGCTGGATGAACGGGATCATTTTGCATCCAACGCGGCCAAAG